GCCAGTTCGGACTGGCCAGAGGAAACTGTCTTCTCTCCCAAATAAGCACACAGTGATTAAAGAAGACTGCACTGCCTTCTCGTACTCAAAAAGTTAAAATACAGGAATTCTCTGAGGGGAGAAGAATGGCTACTGAAAGCTCCATTAGGACCTTCTCTAAACTATTCCCGTTTAAGTGGAGAGGCAAATAGCCCCCACTGGCATTTATATTTAGAATGGGCTGGGAGAGAGGAAGAGCACATTTTGAACGCTGAAGGTCTCTGACATACCCATACATAAATCATTTCAGGGTGAGGTGTCACATCTTCTGCTCTGCCCTTTAAATGGATTGGACCCCAACATCACATCCTCCTCAGGGTAGGGAGTGGGGGTGGGAGTTTCATGGAGAACAAAGAAGTCACCACTTCCTTTATCCCCCCAACTAAAGACAGATGTAGTAAAAACATCTGCGTTGTAACATTCACTCACTTTAAAATACCGAACTGCAAACAGGTAGACTGAGTGATAATGTTTGAGAATCCCTAAATCTACACAAAGATGTATCTATTAAAAAGAACATGGAAATTAAAATTTAAAAGAACATGGAAAGGCCAACTGTGTGATAGATGGCATTCACATGTGCTTTCATTTGTAAAGCTACATTTATTGAGTGACTGCATCCTTATTTAGAAAATCTGGAGAACAGGGGCAGTTCTGATTTTTTTTTCATCTATCAAGTCAGTGTTTCAGATTTTTAAAAAAATAGAGTTATGGTAACTAAAGAGCACACAAATCACATACAAAAAAAAAAAAAAAAGAAAATCTGGAGAACAGGGGCAGTTCTGATTTTTTTTTCATCTATCAAGTCAGTGTTTCAGATTTTTAAAAAAATAGAGTTATGGTAACTAAAGAGCACACAAATCCAAAAAAAAAAAAAAAAAAAAAGCCAGCTATTTTATCCTTTCAGTGTGGTTAGCAAGGCTCCTTTGTGTCTACAAATTTCCCTGGGTGGTGCTGTTGCCAAGAAATTCTAATTCATGACAAGGTTTTCTGCAAATTGGGGACAGAGGCAAACCTGCGGATGCAGGGACCCTACAGTTTGCTTTGTCTTTCTGGCTGAGACAGCACCAGGCTGCTCGGGCCTGTAGAAGGCAGTGCAAAGGCAAGATCCCAACATAGGAGAAGCGATGTAGCTCACAGATCAAATCCCATCTCTTGCACCATGAGGCTGTTCTTGGCAGGCAACCATTTTTGTAAGTTGTCCCCTAGAGATGCTTCATACCAAAGGCCCTTGTAAAAAGTGTTTCAGGGTGCCTGAAACCAAGATGAAATTGCAGTGTTATGGGGACGCTGTAGTTCTTACAGTAGCCAAGTATGCCATTAGTTTAAAACAATGGGGGAATGGGGGAGGAGGGAGGAATGTTCTATGATTTATTTATTTGTTTCCAGTAGCAGTGGAAAATTTTCTCTGAGCAAAAAGGAGGCCTGAAACTGACCCCATCTGCCAATTATGAATCAGCATTAACAACAAGCATAATTCCATAAGAGTTTTCAAGTAAACATACCATGCTCCTCAATGGCATGAAGCAAAGCTAAGTGCAAATAAGACTTAGAACATCATTACTTGACCTGCACTCATGAAATAGCAGTCTAGGTATAAAGAATATATCCAAATTCTAAAAGTCTTTGTAGCTTCCCAAAGAAAAATAACCATCAGTATTGTACCAAATCCTCTTTTATTTTCCAAGTCAGCAGTGGGTCCAGAAAAATCATGATTTCTAATGGCAACAAAACTCATGAATGGGTCCCCCTTTATCCATCATCAAGTGGTACCCTATACGCTACTCTCAGTTTCTGTCCTACCTTTGACTTTTTCCTACTTTTGCTCAGACAGCTCTTGGAAATTTTCCTGCAAGTTTCCAAAGAGCTTAAGGCTGGTAGCCTTAAGAGTTGTGCGTCAGCTGAATTCCATAAAATAATAGACCACATAAGCACAGTGTAATTTACAGTTATATGACAGGCAGGGATGATGTTACTCGGGCCAAATGCTTAAGTATGCAGTCAGAGTCCAGGAATGGAGAGCTGTTAATGTAGGATGTCCATCCAGATTTAAAAATTACACCAACAATGGTTTTCATAGTTGGAGCTGTATGAGGCTAAGACATTATTGCCCAAAAACCCAATGTCAAAATGACGACCCCTGTTACAGGAGGGCCATGACAAGCTCACTGACTATTAAGCAGAACAATTATCCCAGACTTGAGTTTAAAATAAAAACTCCAAAGAGTCCATCCTTAATTTTCAAATGCACAGATGGTCTTGAGTTTATCATCCAAGCCACTCTGTTTCTTACGAACCAAATCAGACTATTGGAATCTCTGGACTTCGCTCATCTCCTCAAGGTACACTGTTCACTTTCAGGAGTACATCTAATAACTGCTCCTCATTTGACCTCTAAAATCTGATTACCCCAGAGCATCAGGAAACTTCCTCCTGCCTGGGGTTCTTTGTAGCAACCTTCTTGAGCTGATTTGAGCACAGGAGCCTTAAAATTTCACCATGTGATGGTTGATTTAGAACCAACAGTTGCATATAACCACACTCCCCTCCTTTATACTCAGAAGAGGCAAGAGGAAGGGGGCAGGTAGAGGGAGGAAGGAAGAGACAGAGGTTGGAGGTTATGTCATCAGCATGAACTGGGAGGCACAGTCACCTTTACAGAAAGCATTTGTGCCTACAGAGTCCACAGAAGAAAGCTCCTTGGAATGATATCTCATTTAGGACCGTGTCCTCACAAGTTATGTTTCAGTATGGATTATAAGCATGCCTCTGAAAGAGCTTGGCAAAGAGTTTTAAGCTGAGGGCAGTTGGCAGTAGGAGAGGATTAAGGCAAGAAATAGGGGGGTGAAAATTTCTTTGCCCACAGATACAAACTAAGCTAGAGATGCCCTGAAGGAGGTGAGATGAAGGATGAGGTGGGTGGGAAGCAGAGAAGGTTTCTAAGGAAACAAAAGATCCAATACATCCTCTAATTATCAAACCAATGATGTTTCTTTACAGATCTAGACTTTCTCAAGGATGCTCTAACCAGATCTAGAAAACCAGGTTTCCTCTGGAGAGGCCTTCCCCCAAAGCAGGCTTTACTACTGTGAAATCTTGAACCAAACAAAGTTGGGTGATTCATCAGGAGGGAACGTTGTAACAAATAAAGCCAACTTTCTTCCCTCCAACCTGCTTAACAGTTAGTCACAAACAAGGGCTGCCTTGGGCAGGCTGACTAAATCAACAGATTCTCTTCCCTAACCTGTCTAGACAGTTGTTAATAGGCAACCGATTCAACACCAGTGGGCTGACAGTGTGAAATGAAGACTATTTCAGAAAATGAAATTCTGGCAACCTTTTGGTTTAATTAGCATGTGAAATAAAAGGAGGAAAAAGCTCTAGTGAGACCCTTGGTGAGATAGTGTCATCAAGGATGGGGGAAAGGATGCACTGGAGAAATGCCTTCTGCTAGAAACATGCGAGCTGTGCATGCGTTTAGAGAAAGACAAAGTCAAACACATCTGCCAGCATCCTTGGGCAGGAATGTATGTGTGGAAGCACAGACACCAGAGGCCAGTACCTGGAGAAACTCCAGCCTCGAAATCAGGGGAGAACAGCAACCAGCAACAATGGTACACCGGATAGGCTCCTTATACCACAAGCCAAACCTCACTCGCTAAAGCAGCAACTGTTACATCCCAGGCTCAAACTGGCAAATCCCGCTTTGGATCCTGGCAGAGGAAATTCAGCCGTTCATTAGCCTTAACAAGCTGCTGTCACGGAGCAGAGAAGTTACATGAGCAGCCACACACCAAGCCTCTTGCCGCCCGCCCCAAGGGCAAGCACGTTTCTCCCAGACGGATTGTGCACGTTCACACTTCCAATGTGCAAATCCGAACTGTCTTCTTGCACGTTCCATGATGCACACTGTAGAATTCTGAAAGAATGTTCGTGTCCCTCCATCCCCACCCACCATCTTTCCTGCCGAATGTCCCCTCAGCAGCTCCTAATCCTTACTGAGAAAACCACTGTTTCCGCAGCAGATCTCGCACTTTCCACTAACCAGCACTTTCTTTATTCCACTTCACAAAGCCCAGTGAACTTGTCACCAGCCCCGCTTCCCCCTCACTGGGACGCCTAGCCAACTTGGGCATCGGTGCCCTTCAGCATCTTAGGAGTTTCTTCACTAGTCCTCTAAAACAAAGTCAGAGGCACAGAAGCACACACCACCCTTTGTCGGAGGTTGTGCTAAGAGGAGAGGCACACCAAACGAAAGAGAAGCAAGGACACCCACAGAGGGTGTTCTCCTTCCGAAGACACCGCACTGGGGAAACCTACAATGCACGGTCAGCATGAGACAGACACATCTTCCCATCCTCTTCCGAGATATCTTTGAGTATCCTTTATCACTGGGCTCCTCTTCCTTCTGCCCAGCTTCTAATCTCAAAATCAAGTTCCTATTCTTTACTGATACTCGCTAATTACTAGGAAAACACTCCGCTTTGCTCCTACCCCCTCCCCCCATCTGACGGTCGTTAGCACCAGTTGAAAGAGATGAACCTGATTTAAGGTACCAAGGAGGTAGAGCTCGTGCATGTAGGGACGCGGTACCTGTCTGTGATGGCTCGTAAAGCCCCAAACCACCTTCCCACCCGGCTCCTCCGAACCCCAGAAGTTAGGCAGGTCTCTGCTGGGGGGCAGTGAGCCGCACAACGTGTGCGCAAGGATGTGTGTTGGTGACTGAAACGCAGGCAGCTCCGACCGGCCGCTCAGCTCAAGCACACTAAGGGGTTAGGGGGTGGGTGGAGAGGTAAGCAGATGACTGTTTCCGAAAACATTTTAAACAACAGACAGCCAAAATGGGGGGGGGGGGAATTAAACAAACGAACAAACAAAATTCAACCCCAAGCCCACACCAACGCAGCCCCTGCGTCTCCGCCGCCACCACACGATTTACACAAGTAATTTAAATCATTCACCTGCTGCCAGGTCTCCTCCAGGGATGGCAAAGCTGAGAAGTAGCCGGTGTCGTGGACAAGTTGTAGCTCCTGGAATATACTATAACTAGCCAACACGTCCATGCTGCTGCTGCCGGGCAAAACGGGAGGAGAAACCCTCCCCCGAACACAGTTGGGTCTGTTTGTTTGTCAGTCTGTCTGGCTCACCCCCCAAGGAGGCAGACATCCAGTGGCCCTTTTGTTTTGTTTTGTTTCAGTCAACTAAAAAGGAAAAAAAAAAAAAAATCAATGCAGAAGAGAGGGAGAGAGGAGGTGAGAGAGGAGAGACTGAGTGGGGTGGATGGAGAGAGGCATCCAGCGTGTACAGTGCAGACGGCTGCCAGGAAAAGGGGACTTCACGGGAGTAACAATTCCCTTCCAGGGCTCTAATCACTCCAGCTCGTGGATCAGGAAGGGGGATGCAAACTCACTGACACGAAGCTGCCATCTATTTCTGCAGCGCTGTTCGCTCCTAATGCAATCTTTGCTCTTTATTTTGGGAGGTGGCATTTTTTTTTTCTCGCGATCGCTTCTCTCCCCCCCTTTCCTTCCCTCCCCACCCCCACCCCATCCTTGCTAGTTTGTAGTCTCTCCCCCCCCTCCTTTTCTCCTCCTCCTGCTCTTCCCCCTCCCCAAACTCCCTCCCTCCGCCCGGCTCTCCGCGCAGCCGTGGGATCTCGGAGGAGGGCGTCCATTAGGCCGCGTGTGACCATGTATGGTAAACAGGGGGCTCATGAAGTCACTGAGGACCAATGGGAAGCCTGGAGCAGGGCCTGGGGCGGGGCTTGGCCCTGGCGGCGGGCGCGGATTGGCACGATGCGAATCTCCCTGCTGCCTTACAAGGCGGTGCGAGGCGAGCTATTTTTAGAGGGCTATATAAGGGGGCCGAAGAGGCCGTGCGGCGCCCGGGGAGCGCGAGCGCGAGGGATTGGGAGGGTCGCGGCGACACTTGCACCGGCTCCCGGTACGCCGAGGCGACTGGGCTCGGGCCGCACGCCGGCCTCCGACCTTCGCTTGGGTGCCAGGTGGAGCCCCAGGTGGCCGGAGCCTGCGCCCCTCAGAGGGGTGAGGGTCGCGTATCGCCGTTCTGGCGTGGACGCGGCCGGTTAGGAGGTGAAAGTCCAGAATGCGGGGTTAGGATGCCTCCTGGAGGAAGAGCGAGGCGGGAGGACGAGGAAGCCGGCATGGGATGGAGGGCAGGCCACTTCCCACTCCGCCTCCCTTCTAGGCCCAAGGGCAGGGAACCGCGAGGGCGGGGCAGCGCAAAGGAGTTCCTCACTTCCTCAGAAATAAACCGGGGGGTTGGGTGGAGGGCGGAAGAAAGAAAAAGTCACCAAAAGCCCCTTCACGAATTCCCCACAGGCTGCCAGGGTACACAGAAGAAGCGCCACACAATGGAGCAGAACAAAGGGGAATGCGCGAAAACAGCGGCGGGGGTCCGCCTCGCGCGCCGCACGCAGGCCCCGCCCCCAGCCCCGCCGGCGCCCCAGTGCGAGTTGCCGTGCCCCGCCCCACCCCGCCCGCCCAGCCTGAGCCGACGCCGGGGACCGGGCGGGGGTCCGACTCGCACTTAGAGTTGATTGGAACTGGACGTTTTGCTGGGGAGTGTGTTAAAGACAATAGAGGGAATCCTTGTAGACGTGGGGTGCAGGCAGGAGCCGGCAACTTGCTTGGGGGCTTAAACGTGAGACTTCCCATGCGACTTGGAGAGAGGATGTCCGTCTGCCTAGCTGCGGTGGTGAGAGGAGGACCTGAATTGCGTTATAGCGCTGACATATAGAGATGTATAGATAGAGAGCCTATTATCTCTTAGCTGAACTACGCACGTTGTGAGGGTTGACCGGTTGTTTGCTTGACCTTAAATGGTTAGTGTGGTTAAAGCTTCCCCAAAATGCAGTGTGAGCTGAACTTCCACTTTTGGAATGATTGCAGAATTTGGTACTTATTCTGAAATGAGAAACTTGAATTCAACTCATAATGGAAGAAACACATCCACTTTAATCGCCCTTCTCAGCCGTCTCTCCTTCTGACTATGTGGGACTCCATATCACAATATTTCGAAAGTTCTACTTTATAGAACAAACCCAGTTTGCAGTTCAGTATTTGCCAGGGGAAATTAAACCGGAATTACTGAGTTGAGGAAAGTCTAGTTTATTTGCTTTTTGATGTCTGGAATTCTGTTGGTCAGATCTCTAGCATCCAGTGTATGTGTATAATTGGTGAATGTACTGTAAGTGTGTGTGCATGGAATGTACAAGGATCTTGGTACATTTAGCATTATGTATTATACACATTCGTGGTGCTAGGGGATAAATGGTATGAAAAGGGTAAAAGTCCTACACGAATAAAGTGATATTATGATAGCACACATATACGTGCCAGTATGAGAAGTCTGCGTGGGCCTTTCCCAGAAGTAGAAAACCATTTAGAGCCATCACATACCAATTAATGCATTAACTTGATCCTGATGGCCATTGATACTGCCACTTACTACTGTGTGACTTTGAGCAAATTACTGGCTCAGACCCTCTGGCTACCCTTCTCAGACACAGGAAAAGTGGTATCTGCCTTGCCTGATTGTTATGAACAATCAAAATGTTATAATGTTTGTTAACTCACCTAGCATAGTGTAGCTGGTGCTAATAGGTGAATACTAAATGTTAGCCATCATTATCTCCTGACTTTAGCTGAGTAAATTAAATAATATCTGAACCAATCAGACTTGTAGGGGGATATACCAGTCTTAGAGAAGAAGAATGTAGAAACCTCTTGCCAGTTTGGAATAAGGTCTTCCCCTGCAACCCAACATGCTCTCCTGATTGTGTGTGGGGATGGGGAAGAGATCACTGACAAGTACTGGGGCAGAAGACATGTTCAGGAGTAATAGTGGAGGGAAAGGATCTTTGGCTCAGCGGCCATGGCTCACGGGCCTAGCCACTCCGCGGCATGTGGGGTCCTCCCGGACCGGGGCACAAACCCGTGTCCCCTGCATTGGCAGGCGGACTCTCAACCACTGCGCCACCAGGGAAGCCTGGATCTTTTTTTTTTTTGAATTTTATTTATTCTGTTATACAGCAGTTTCTTATTAGTTATCTATTTTATACATGTTAGTCTATATATGTCAATCCCAGTCTCCCAATTAATCTCACCACCACCCAGGAGAGGGAAAGGATCTTAAATGTAGGAAACGCAAGAGGCAAAAAGCAAGGCAAGGGCTTCCCTGGTGGCGCTGTGGCTGAGAGTCCGCCTGCCGGTGCAGGGGACGTGGGTTCGTGCCCCGGTCCAGGAGGATCCCACATGCCGCGGAGCGGCTGGGGCCGTGAGCCATGGCCGCTGAGCCTGCGCGTCCGGAGCCTGTGCTCCGCAACGGGAGAGGCCACAGCAGTGAGAGGCCCACGTACCGCAAAAATTAAAAAAAAAAAGCAAGGCAAAACCAAAGAACATAATTTGTTTGAGACTCAACTGAACTTGTTTTTTGTTTTCTTTGTGTTACACTATTACCATTTTCAACAAAATATGACATACCTGTTAACTTTGAAGATTTTAAGCACAATGTGCCAAGCTGTATGGACACATAAACATTTTATATGCTGTGTCTTATTTCATCCTCATGACAGCCCCAGCGTAGGTATTTTTATTATCCCCAACTTTATGGATAAAGATACCCAGGCTTGGAAATACTAAGTTGGTCAAGGTCACACAACCAGGAAGCAGCCAAACAGGGGTTCAAATCCAGGACCACCTGACTTCCAAGACTGTGCTCTGCATGGGGCTCTCTGCAAGGTGAAAGACTTGAGTTTCTTGGTTTTAAGTCGACTTGTTTATAAAAATTGCTTGGGTGTGGAGAGGGAGGCTTCCATTGAGGTTTTTCACATGTAAATATCAGCCATCCAACTTATAGAAGAACTCAACCAAAATTTTACAATGTAAATCCTAAAAACCTCATTATGAGTTTTTTCAAAGCTTTATAGATTAGAATTCTAAGAGATTTATATAACAAGGCGCTCCTAGAGGCATATTTTCAGTATTAGTCATATTTAGCTACTTTTAATAGCCTAGAGACCCTAGGATCACATTGCAAAGCACATGGAAAGAATCCGAATGTACAAATCAACAAATGTACAATAATCAACAAATTAAGATCACAAGGGAAATTTGGCAGCCAAACAAACCAAAAATAAAGAGCACTGCTACAACTACTGCATACCGAATGCTTTCTCTGTACCTGGCATTTTACACGTGTTCACATCTACTCTTCACCACAATCTTGTAAGGGAGCTATTACTGCTCCATTTTCACAGATGAAGATACCAAAGTTCAGAGTAGGCACATAATTTGCCCATATGTCTCTTAAGTGGCAAAAGCAGATTCAAATATAGGCCTGGCTCCAGGTTGATTCCAAAGTCTATGTCCTCTACATGTGTTGCCTTAGAAGATAATGATGATACTTTTAAAAGTATCACCCTTTGGAAGTGATCCTGTAGGAAACACCTAAGAGTAAATAACAAGTTACCCCCCAAGAACTGAGAAATGAGGATATTTTATAAACAAAATAGTAAAAATTCAATATGCAGATAGAAACAATCAAGACATCAGACTGTTACTACTAGAAAAGTTCTGTGTCATTAGTACAGGAAGTCCTTAATATCCTATTGTGATTAGCACTGGGAAAGCCTCAAAGTAAATCTACTTAAAACACGGGCCAAATTTCAGAGCAGTTAGTGAAAAAAGGTTTGCTGGGGACTTGTCTTGAAAATAAAACTCAACATTTTTAAAACACATTTATTCTATCCTACATTGAACAAAATTGATAAGTACAACCATGTGCTAATTATAGAATGAATAAATAATAAATCAAGTGATTATTGTTGGCTTAATTTTTTCCTAAGCATTGTGAAGCCCCTTACAACATGCTTTATTTCATATTTGACTTTCAGAGAATAATAAAAAAGAGGGTCATTTTTTATAAAAATGTTTCAGAGTTTCTTCAGTTTTCCTAAGGGTCTCAATTAATTCTTTGATATTCAAACTATTCTCTTCTGAAGTATCAATATAGTCATCAGCCCAGTTGATTTTACCTTCATGCGTTTAACTCCATAGATCCTCATGTGCCAGTTTTACCAATCTCACTTTCACTGACCTTACACCTTTTGCAAGATTTGCAATAGAACTGAATGTATTTGCATTGTGCTGTAAATGTTCACCATCATTGTGTGTGTGTGTGTGTGCGGGGGGGGGAGGTGTTTAAAAGAGGTGTTTGAATGGGGTATTAATTTATAAGTGGCCATATCATTAATAATACTTTCATATACCATTGACTTTTGCTTCTCTTTACAATCTTACTATAGTGGAACAAAGTGTGAGCTTAGGCAGCAGGCTTTGTTTGTATCAGAGAAAATAAGAGTGACAAGGAGATGGAGATGGAGATGCCAAAGAATGCCAAAGACCCTCTGAGAGACAGTTT